AGGTCAGAAGTACACTACCTCAAATCTTACATTATATATGAATGCATAGTCTTTTTCACGTGAAATATTCCTTGTCTGTCTTTTTCTTGAACCTGTGATATGGGACAGGGAGAGTATCTCTTTTAAAATTCCACAGCAGACATCTCTTATTTCTGAGTAACACACTGAATATATCATAATTTATTAGTATACTGTAAGTGACTATAGAAGGGTTGTATGTACCATTGTAAAGTCAAGAAATCATAAATTGATCTTTTGTTAATTGAGCACTGTCTGTATTTAAAAGGATTGTATAAAGGCTGCTTTCAAACACTTCAGTGGGGACTTCCTTTGGTATCTGATAACTGTAATTTATGCCAGAACTATTTATCATCCGCAGGTCTCAATTCCAATTAGAATGTATTTCTGGAGTCCTTAAATCATACAGTGTTATATACAAGTTTATTGTATGTGCTTCCGAAGCAAGCACATGATATGCAAGTTTATAACCAACAGGTGAACTGCACTGGCTTCCTCCAAGTTTGACAGCTGAGAATGTGGCTTTTAAAACTGTCTAAGTATCCTCGCTAGCTAGAATTGAAGGCAGCTAACATTTAAACTGATATGCCTTGTTTTCCTTTTTCTCTTTGAATGGAAAAGAGGTTTTTGTCACTTTGCCTCACTTCTCTTATAAAGAATTTTAGCTTATCAATTCAGCTTTTTTTCCAGTTTTAGTACATTTATATGTAGATTTGTTTCTCATATTTATTAATATTGGGGGTTTTTTCCAATATGAAGACTTTGCCATTTTTTTCACAGTTTTATTCAGATATAATTAGTATTTTATGAACTGCATACATATGAAGCATACAAGGTTCCCATTTGGAACATATGTATACATCTCTAAAGTCACCACCATGATTAACATTGTGAGCATATTCATCATTCCTAAAAGTTTCCTCATGTCCTTTTGTGAATGATCCTTTCTTGTCCTACTTCCTGTCCCCAGATAACCATGGATCTGCTTTTTGTCATTGTGGTGTATTTTGAATTCCTAGACATTTATATAAATGGGATCATCTAACATATATTCTTTTCTTACCTGGCTTCTTTCATTGACCATAGTGATTTTGAGGTTTATCCACACTGTATGCATCAATATTTTGTTTCTTTGTATTACTAATTAGTAGCCTATTATGTGAATCTACTATAACTTGTTCATCCATTCATACACTAATGGAAATTTATATTGTATCTAGTTTAGACTATTACAGAGTTGCTCTGAATATTCATGTACAAGTCTTTTGAAGACATATTTCCATATCTCTTGAGTAAATATATTGATATTAAATGGCTATATCGTTTTGTGGGCATATGTTTAACTTTTCAAGAAATTGCCCAACTGTTTTCCTAAATAATTGTACCAATTTTACCTTCTTGTCAATGGCAGATAGGAATTCTACTTGCTTCACAACATTATCAACACTTTAGTCAGATATTTAGTGTTTTTAATTTTGGTCATTCCAGTGGGTGGACTTCATTATGCCTATGAACCACAGGAGGGTCTCATTGTGGTATTAATTTGTTTTGCCTAAAGACCAGTAGTGTTGAGCATCTTTTCATGTGCTTTTTGCCATCCATATATTTTCACTGGTAAAATGAACATTCGAAGTATTTGTTTGTTTTTCAATAGTATGTTTTCTTATTGTTGAGTTTTAAAAGTTCTTTATTCTGGATATAAATTCTTCATCAGATATACACTGTGTAAAGGTTTTGTTCTAATCTTCTAGTGCCATTTTGTTTTGTTTTGTTTTGTTTTTTTGAGACAGGGTCTCACTACGTAGTTGAGACTGACCTGGAACTCACTGTGTAGCCCAGGCTGGTCTCAAACTCACAGCAATCCTCCTGCCTCAGCCTCCTGAGTGCTGGAATTACAGGCATGCACCACCACACCCAGCCTTGAAAAACAGTTTTAAATTTTGATGAAATCTAATTTATCAGTTTGTTTTCTTATGGACTGTACTTTTGGTACTGTAAACAAGCAATTTTTGAATGACTCAGATTTTCAGAGTGCTTTTCTTCTAGAATTCTCATAGTTTGGGTTTTCTATTTAAGTCTGTGATATACATAAAGTTTTGTACATAGTGTGAGATACAGCTCTTAATTTCATTTTATTGTTATATGGACATCAAATTATCCAGTAGCATTTGTTGAAAAAAATTATTTTTGCTAAAATAACTTTTCTGTTTATATGACATAGGAAAAAGTATAAAGCCTGCCTTTTGCCAGTCTTTTAGTTATAACTTGCCTAGGTACATTTAAGGATATTAATAAAGAAGAGGCCTAGTTTCAAGAGCATACATTACAAATGAAGAACAGTAAATGTACACATTCTGTACCCTGCTCTTTAAATTTAAAAAATAAAAAATTATATGTGCATTCTAGTGTGAGTTAATATTCTTTAACTGTTCATTTTCATGTGATTTAATGTTCTTAAACTGCATGGTTTTTAATAGCTATATTGTATCATAAAGAGTCACATACTTTCACCTTTTTATGAGACTATCAATTTTATTTTAAAATATATTTTGATCATATAGCAGGCCCTTCTCAAAAAATTAAATAGAATATACTTTCACCATCTCTACACTTGAATCTTTTCCATTTTTGCTTTAATTTTTAGAATTATTAAGTCAACATATATGAACTTTTTTAAAAGCTTTATATATTTCCACAATATATTCCAAAAAAGTTTCAACAATTTATATTTCCACCAACAGTAACTAAGAGATTTCATCCTTTCTGGCAATTTCTCTTTGTTTTTGTGAAAACTTCAAGGATGCCTGAACATCTCTCTGCTTCCCTCAGTAGTTCTTTATCCTCTGGCCAAGTACCTTGTTCCTTATTCTTATCAGACATTGGGTCCTTCTCAACCCTGACCAAAGTGAACAAACTCCTTGCATTTCTTGCCTCTTCTACCAAAAAACTTACCAGGATGAGTATACATCCCTCCTAGGTCTGCAGCAAACAAAACTTCCCCTCCTTCTCTGGATCTTATTCTGCTTTGTTTCTTCAAAAATGTTCCATTTTTTTCCTACCTTCCTGGGATCCTGAGTTTCCCTTTAGCTAACCCTTATGCTCTTTCTTAGGTGTGAAGTTCTTTGAAAGAAAGCATCCTCTTGCTGTAAGTTCTTTACTCATCACCCAACTAGTTCTCCTTTTTTACATATTTCTCTTCTCTTTTCCTCTACTTCCCAGTCTCTCACTCCCTCTTGTTTCACCCAATATTCTTACTGAACCATGATGTCTCCATGCCTAAGTGGAGATTGCTTTGCAAGAATTCTAGGGTAGGGCCATGGATTCAGCTCGGTGACCCCATGCCTGCCTCAAACACAAGGTCCTGCGTTTAGTTCCTGGTACTAAAAAGAAAGAATTCTAGGGTGATTTCATACCCCTTTGCAGCTTTGTCTTTTTGTGGGCTTTGTCACCTTTTTCTTCTTTACCCCTATCCCCTTTAAATTATCTAATTTTACCTCAAGAGTGGTAGTTGTTAGGTTGTAGGATGAGTTAACCAGTAATCCGGTTTGAATCTGTCTCTGAAAGTAAGCTATAGAACTGTCTTTGTTTTCCTTCCTCTTATATGGGTTTGTTAATATGGCCAGGCTATATGCGGCCTTTCTTCTAAGAAATGTTACTTTCACTGATTTTGGTCTTTGCTTTGCAATTCTTTGTCTCATTCGAACAAACATTCTTTCTCCTTTCCTCCCTCTTACCTCCCCAACTATTTGTTATTTCCCAGTGCTTCTGATCCATACCATGTTTTATGACTGCCCCTTTGCATACCATGAGTGACATCTTCAGGCCATAGAAGATTCAAGAGATTGATTCATTTGAATCTTTACAAAAAAGGGTCATCATAGAAACAACAATTATCTACAATTCTGACTTATGATGAATTTTTTTGTCAGGCGCATTCCTCAGATAAGCACACACACACACACACACACACACACACACACACACCTCTTTTGGGATAGGGAATTAGGGACAGAACCCAGTGATGCTAGGAAAGCACTCTGCCACTGAGCTACATCTTTACCCTTTTTTAAATTTTTTTTATTTTCAGACAGGGTCTCACTAAGCTGCTTAGACTGGCCTCAAGCTTCTACTTTGATCTCCTATGTAGCTAGGATTACAGGAGTACAATAACATGTCCAGCTTTCTTGGCCTTCCTTAATTGTAGACTTTTCAAGGCAAAAAAAAAAAAAAAACAATGCAAAATCCCTGATATAATTTTTAGTTTCTGATCTTTTATGGTACTTGTTTATCCCATAAATTACTGTTTTGTTGTTTTTAACTGTTGATTTATCACACTAATCACCACCAGGACCATGTTATGGCAAGTTTTATTTAACAGTTGTACTTCTTTTATTTTTTTTTATGGGGAGAGGGTACTGGGGATCATACCAGCCAAAGATACTCTGCAGCCACAACTAGCTTCCACACTCCTAGAGAATAGGGATTATGTCTGTTCACACTTACAGTAACTCATATTAGCACCATATGTAATGCTTATTATATCAGTATCAGATATTTATTTTTATAAAAAGATAACTGTTTAAAATTGATCATTAACTCTCTGGTTTAGGGAAATGAAGCTCTGATTTCTGCATAGAATTTCTGGCATTCTATTGCGGGGGGGTGGTACCAGGGATCGAAATCAGGACCTTGTGCTTGGGAGGCGGGTGAAAGCACCACTGAGCTAAACCCCCAGCCCCTGGCATTCCTTTTTCTCTTGATTATGGACCTAGAGGTTAGACTTTATGAACTGCTCCAACAAGGGGATACTTAGGATAACTCAAAATATGTAATACTATAAAATTCATTTTTGTTTTTCTTTGTATGTTGTTGAAGATGGACCTGCCCCGGGATTTCACTTGGTAATACATATTAGTCACATTATAAAGATGAACACAGGAGCAAAAAATTGACCCTGGTTCTTTATTCTACCTCCATTTTAGGGCACTCGGTGGTTTGCATCCTTCTGTGGGAACAGAGAAACCAAGGAAAGCACTCGTGGGGCAGGATTTCTCCTCAGCCATTGCTCAGAACAAGATAGACAACACAAAAGATTTTTTCTGAAAACTGTTACAGAGAAGATAGTGTATGTGTTTAGAATATAAAAAGAAAATAAGCAGCCAACTTGAGAATAGCAGTAAGATTGGAGTAATATTTTACTGAATAAAATGTGAATAATCTAGTTAACTTTGATACAAGAGGAAAATATATGAACCTAGAGATATTGATATGTTTATTTTTTATTTTTCAATGTACTATAAATATTTGTTTCTAACAGTTTAAGATAGATTTTTCAACAAAGTGCAATGAATATGAATAAGTGATGATAGAGTTTGGTTCGTATACCATTAATTAGGTTAGGCCTGACTTTTGGAATTTCAAACTAACTCTTTTTTTCTTTTTAGGTTGCCTCTTGGTGCTGCCTTGGAGGTATTTGGCACCCAGAATGCTTCATTCTGTGATGGTCTATTAATAAGGTTGCCTTATTAGAGTTTGGAGCAAGGGGTCTCAGGTAGGTGGCTTTTATCATTATATGGCATGACTTTCAAAGTGGTCAGTTATTCTAGTTCCTAAATAATGTAAGATATAATACTAAAAGCTTTGAAAAGCATGCCACATAATAAGCATGCCACTTACAGTCTTAGGGTCCATCAAAATGAATTGTGATCAGCAGTACTTAAGTAATACTTACTGTCTGTCTAATAGAAGGCAAGGAGCAGTCTTCCTTACTCTGCACAAAATACATAGCTGCTGTAAAGGCTTGTTTGTCTTCCCCAGGTAACCTATAGATGAACTCAATTAAGTTCTCCCTTCTTTGGATCTTGCTCTTAGTGGTAGATTATCCCATGTTGCTATATCTTCCATCTTCTGGGAAGGATCTGATTAACTGTGAGCAGGTGGAGAGGAGAATTATATCTGCTCCCTGGGATGGGGCAGATGGTAGAATAAGGAACCCAGTGTGACAAGAGCAGTTTGCTAGCATTCTGGGGAAGAAGACATACACACAAGCATCTAGATTTCCCAACCCTAAATGCAGCTCAGTGGCACAGTACTGGAAATCCAAGCACATATGAATTTGGCACCAACAGGTAAGTCTGTCAACAGGAACTCAAACACAGGGTTCAGGTTTATAGACCAGGACCCCAACCCTTAGGATGGGGAGCCTGGAGAAAACAAAGGTGAGTTGGGTAGGTGTGGAGTAGACACCTGGAATCACAGCACTTTGAGAGGCTGAAACAGAAAGGTCACAAATTTGAACCAGACTAGGCAACTTAGCAACATTGAGACCTTGTCCCAAAATAAAAAATGAAAGAATTGGGGATGTAGCTCAGTGTAAAGGCCCTGGATTCAATCCCCAGTACAACATAAAGAAAAAACAAAGGTGGCCATGCCAGTGGGTAGGCTCAAGTTCCTAAACTTTCCACTGACCTCGGGCAGCAACTATCACCCTGATGAAAGGAAAACTTTGACTGAGGGCCCACACAGTATATATGAACAGAGCTTTATAATCAATGGTGCATAAATGAATCTGGCTTATCTTTTATGTTAATAAGTACATTCTGTGGAAATCAAGTTAGCATAAATTTTTGGCTGTGTACTATAAATACTTTCTAAAAAGAATACTAATGATTTTTTTAGAGTTGTAAGTTACAGATTTTCTTATTTTTTTTCTTGTTCATTGTAGCTTTTAAATTGTTTTTAATGAAGCTATTTTTAGTAGCTAGACTAGGAGCAAGAAATTTTACTGTGTCACATTCCACTTAGGCATGTTCTCTCTTGATTCTCCTATGTTTATGATCAGACATTTTCTAATATTTTCAACATCATCCTTCTATTTTAATTTCATTTAAAGAACATTCTCTTTAAAGATTTAGAATTTTACTTTGTTCCCTTTTCCTTCCCAGATGTTTACCTGCTCACTTTGATTCCTGAAATTCCCTTAAAGGAACTACAGTCTGTCCAACAAATATTTATTAAATGTCTACTGCCAGCTGCTGGGGACATGATAATAATAGGTTCCCTATAGATTAGTTTGTGGTCACCACAAGAGAGTCAGGTTAAACGGGTCATTTCAGGAAGAGCTACCATCATCCACACAGGCAGTAAAAGGCTTTGTAAGATAATTTTCAAATTCAAGTATGTAAAATTACTCAATGATTACTGGTTGTTTTTAGAAGTGATTTTATCCTGGACGGCCACATGGATATAATTTAAGGAGGACAGCTTGATCATATGTGTAGTTGTTGATTCTATTTTCATTACATTTTTAGTGCTACTTGAACGACAGCACATCCGGCAACACTTACACTTCCTTGTAGACCCTGAACCCTTTTAAAGCACCCATTTCTTTGAGACATCTTAAAACTAGTTCTGCAAATGAACTTTATAGCTTAAGTTTTAGCTTGTTTCTTTAGCACTTTGCTAATCTCACACCTGATTTCTACCATTTCTTTTGGAATTATAAACAGATTCAGTATGAGTGATTGAGAATTCAGACATGAAACCTGGATTATTTCATATTTGTGATTTTTAATAGGTTTAGGCAAATAACTATACATGAGTGGTTGTTTAGGGTCCTTCCTTGTGAATAGTTTTACAGTTGGTGTCACATAAACTTAAGGAGTTTTATGGTAATAAAATAGGAAACTCAGTACAATTTGGGATATATGACCTGAAGGCTATTTCATAGTACTAGCTACATACTGAGTATTTTGGAAATGTTTTATACAGATTTTTTTAAAGCCCAGGAACTCCTCTAAAAATAAAGTATTGAGTAATCTTACCTTGTATTAATATAATTTCAGTTATTTGCGCTTAATTTTCTCTTTCCATCTTGTCCTCCCTCTTGCACAAATCCTCTCATTTCCTGTTTGCAAGTACTAATTCCCTATGTGAAGAAATGAAAATACCCAACTGTACCCCTATGTGTATTTTTTAGTTTTCCTGTTTTGATAATAACATATTCATAGGGGGACCTCATCACCCCCAACTGTTGCACTTATAGTTGGTAAAAATGTTACCAACTCTAAAAATAAAATGCTAGCTTCTAAGTTAATGAGAGAGCTTTTTAAAAAGAAAAACTTTAACTCAATGTGGCATTTTTCTCCATGAAATAACCAAGGAAAGTATTTCTGAACTGGAAGGTAACATTTGTTTTACTATTCCATTTTCATCAGGTTTTTCATTTTGTCTGGGTATCCAGAGAATGCATGGCTTGAGAAAGAACATCCTACATGTATGGATAAATAAGAGAAGTGATTTTGAGGTTTCTCGGAACATTGGAATGTCAGTTTTAAAATTTGTTGAAATTTTCCTGTTGTTTCTTAAAAGCAGAGATTGGAGGTTTTCCTTTACTTCTCTATTATTTTTATTATTTTTATTATTTTTATATCAAAAAAGCATTTTCAAATATCACTACAGCTTTTTGATAAATTTCAAAGAAGGTTTGACCCAAAACTACATTTGAATGAATTATTCAAAAATCCATTGAAAATATCAAATATAGCAATTCAAAAAGGCATCTTTTTGAGACAATATAGGAACATAAGTATTGCAGTTTTCCATATTCTGGATTTAAATTAGTTATTTGAGGACCTACTATATCTCAAATGAGTTGCATGTATATCTCTACTGTGTTTCCTGCTTCTGGGACACTCTGGCTTCCTTTTGTTCACTGTAGGGATCAGCAGCCCTACCCTGTGTCTTAGCATCTTTCCCACTTTGTGCTGAGCCATACAGGCACCAGGCATGTTTTCACTTTGGAAATTTTCATTAGAATGAAGGCTTGATTGATGTTATTTACTCCTGCTATTTTGATTCCTTAGTGATGAGATCATCCAAAGAATGCTTATTTTCTAAAGCAAAATAATTATTTGAAGGAGCTTTTATTATTGTAATTGCTATTATTTTAATCTAAAACTTCTAATGGTTGCTAATTTGCAACAAAATACCTTTCCATTATTCAATGTGTTGAACCAAATTGTATCCATGCTATTTTATCTTTTACTTGAATATGTATATTCTGTGTCTACTACTTCATTTGAGCAAGCCAGGTCATTCTATTACTGGTAAACACTTGCCCTGCCTTAATATTTTTTTCATTCATTCAGCAGTTATTTTATTGCCTTTTCTGGAGAACAACAGTGAATAAAACTGTCCATAGTCTTGCCCTTTGCTGCCTGTAGTCAATTGTTCATTCTCCTTTAGATTTTTATACTTGCAAGGTAGTTCTTTTATTCTTTACTAATAAGTGATTTTACAGGCCTATGATAATTGACTGCTGTAAGCATTTCCAAATTAACACACAATCACTGAAGCTGTTTTTTGTAATGTTCTGAGTATGCTGTTGTCCTTTAGAATTGACTGTCTTGTTCTCTTGTTAATTCCTTCATATTATTCAAAACTCTTATTAGTGTTTTATAGACATAAATTAAAACATTATCAACTGGTAAGTTCCCTTTTGTAATCCAATCCACCTTATTTACTCTCTATGGAAAACATGTTTTAAGCAAATGTTTACATTTCTAAATTGTTTACTAATAATATTGTATGGTTAGCACAACGGAGGCTAAAGCATTCATGATTGATTACATATGCCCTTAGCAAAATCTCTTTGACTTTTAAATATGAAAGAATTTTTGATGCAGGTAAGTATTGTAGAAATTTACACCTGTTAACAAAGTAACAATCATAACTGTAGAATTTAAGCCTGTTAGGTGGTGGATGTCTCTAATCCCAGCATTCTAAAAGCCTGAGGCAGGAGAATTGCAACAAGTTGGAGGCCAGCCTCGGCTATGTAGTGTGTTCAAGTCCAGCCTGGAATATATAGCAAGACCTTTTCTCAACTCCCCCAAAAAAGTAGAATTTAAAATATAGAAAGTTTAAGCACAAGCCTATTCTTTGGACAGCATCTCATAGAAACTGGTCTTATTTCTAACGTGTGATTCATTTTTTATTTTTTTCTGTGTAAGTCATTATTTTAGAATAATGTAAAACATTGGGAGATAAACCTGTGTATGTGTGCAAGAACATGCAATATTTCCTGTACCATTTCTGTGGAGTCCATGTCACACTTTGGCAGGTATAAATGCCTGTTCTAGTACCAACAAAAACTGGGAGGGTGTTGTGAAGCAGTTTCATCTTAGAGCAATTTGAAATGGGTGTATTTTCTACTTTCTTCACAATTCTTCAGACCAAGTCAAAGAAGAATTTTCATCACTTAAAAAGCTTCTTTAACTTTTTTTTTTTAAAGTACAGGTTTTGTTGCAGACTTCACAAGTATAATTTCAATGCTTTTAAAAGGTTTTTCTTTGTCCTATAAAAGAAAGTACTCAGATAATTTTAGTTGAAATTTTAGTTAGGATTACATAAATACAAGCAAGATAGATATAGATATGTTCCAAATAGTAGTGCATTCTAATTAACTCCTTATTTCATTTATTGTGGGAAATAATTAACAGTTATTTAGCCACTTGAATTCAAAATTGATTGAATTTAGGGAAAATAACCATAATTTGGGAGTTAGGTTTTAAGATAACTAACTTAAAATTTTGGCTCTATTATTTTATTTCAAATTACATGATATGTAACAGGGATAATTTGTAGACTATATTGGAATCTCTCCAAACAAGATACACAGGTTTAAAGTATATTAAAATACTTAAAATATTTTTATTGAAAAATATTAAATAGTAATTACGAATGTATTTGAAAAGCAATAAAATTTATATTGGTTGACAAAAGAAAAATAAGTTACTCAAATAATTTAAGTTTACTTTATAAACTCTTTTAAACTTTTTAAGTCTTAAAATTTATTTCCTTGTAGAGATAATAGTTAAAAGCTCTAATAGGGAAAACTGGTACTGTCTTTTTTCTGATCTTTTAAGTATGGTGAAAAGACTTATCCATTCACAAACTGTTTGGCTAACCTGCCCTTTTGATAAAATGCAGCAGAATAGAAGCAAAATAAGAGTTTAAGCGCATAAGCCCCCTTTGACACCACAGTGCTATCAAATTATTGAGCTTTTATGGCCTTTGATCTAAAATGGCAATGATGGTAAATATATCCACATCTCAAATTCATTGAACTCCAGGGAGGTACTGTATTAGAGATGGAAATATTATACTTGTAGAGTACTTACATTACTAAGACAGCATAATACACAAAATGGTCTTTCATATTCTTACTTACCCCACCAAACACTATGTGCAAGTAAGTATTTACAAAGTAAATTTTTCTGTTTTCACTTTTGATGTGCAGAATTCAGTTCTTCCATTTATGCATGTCCTATGCTTTAAAAAGGAATGGAGCTTTTGCTTTTAACTTTTTAAAATCTTTTATTGGTCTAACTTTTTTATTTTTCTTGTCTGTGATATTAAACTGTGATAATAAGGCTGTTTTCCCATATATTCCTTAGTAATTTTATAATGATGCTTGAATGTCCTCAAGTATTTTATTTATATCATGAAATTCTGAAAGTAGGAAAATTTTATTTTAACGGAAATTAAATTAGATTGGTGTTTGAGCTTTGAAGTTATTTTTACTTAATCTGTCGCGGACACATCCTTTTGTTACTGTATTTTATCTATTTGATTTATATATTACCATCTTGAGTTCTTATAAATAATGATTTCTGAATGTTCATCTCCCAAATGACTTTGCTAATCTCTGTATACTTTGTACTTTCTATAACAGATTACTTTAGATATTTCTGTCTTTTGGCTTTTTTCAAATTTACTAGTACAATCACAGATTATTAACACTTTTTTTGGTGCATGCTCTCAGTCTACTAGAAACCATGTTTCTCTTAAGTGTTTTAAGCTATTTTAAGATTTTTCAACAATGATCCAGTAAACTAAAATATGTTTTCTTTGTAACACCTTCTGTTCCAGTATCAAACCTGTATTTAATTTCCTTTGCATGTTTTTGAAATCTAAACAGTTGCTACACGTGACCAATCCTTACAGTATTATTAAAAATAAATTAGCAGGTAACAAAAGTGTGGCTCCCAGAAGCCCAGTTATACAAGTGTGCACAGTGGGAATGTTGTCAACGTGAGATGGGTTCTAGATATGCACTCCAAGAGGGAACTGAGTTTATCTCTTTCACAATATTAAACTTAATGAAACTTTGATTATTTAGTTTACAAACTAACCTTAATTAGTCTTTTGGTAGACAAGTTAGATTTTTTAAATTAAATTGAATTTGGGAAATAAGTGGGGAGTCATTCAGCATCACAAATTGCCATTTATCTAGGTAATACTATTTTGCTTTTTATTTCTGCATTTATTTGGTCATGTAAATGTGCTTAGAACTAATAAAAATACGAAGCTGGTGAAAATTATGCATGACTTCTCAGCAAGAGTATGGAATGTAAGCATGTGCCATGAAATTGCAGTTCTTTCATCCTTTATTTTCTGTCATTTACATGCTAGTTCTATTTAGAGTATCGTCCATTTTTTTTTTTTTTTTTTTTTCATAGATTGGCCAAAATGGGAAAGATTGGATTCCACTCTCTTCCACGAAGAGTTAATGGGACTGGCTAAGCTCAAAGTCTGAGGCTTTTTCCATCTGTAATCATGTAAGCATCAAACGAAAATCACTATAATTCTATGCATGCACCTTTAATGTATTTATTTGTTATATATAACATAAATATGGTCTTTTATTAGATGTTGAGTTTACAACATTGTATTTATCCAATAGATTTAAATGCACCTATGGTAATTAATTTGAGTTCTGTAATTTATTAAGATAAAGTATATTAGCCATGAAAAAATTTCAGCTGGTCTTAGGAAAGTGTAATATTTGAAATCAGGGCAGTTCTTCATTGCTCAGTATGTACATACAAAGATGATAATTCATCTGTTACTCCACGTTTAGTATTACCAATTTTAATGTAAACAAATGTTTGTAAATTTTTTTATGATGCAGTCTTGATACATTTTTTTCTAGTAACATAGAAGTAATTTTTCTCAATTAGGATTCTCCACATTACAGTTGGGTCTTGTGACATAATGGCAATTATGACCAATCTGTGAGATATTTTCAGCATTTAATTATATTCAAGGATTAGATACTTTACATTCCCATTTTGCTTCTACAATTGAAAAATGATCTTCTGAGTAGGTGCATGAAAGCATTACACTAGGAAATCAAATAATTGAAAATCCGTTTTTTCTCCTGCCAAAACGGAGTGCTTTATAACAGTTATCTTATCAACAGAATGGCTATAATTTATGAGGGAGGAAGAGAAGCTATCATCTGAACAAGATTATAACAGGAAAAGAACAAGTACTTGAGATTAAGAAAATCCAAAACCAGAGGAAACACAATATTGTCATTGCTAATGTCAGTTGCTCTATGTAAATGTCACTTTTAAACTGCATGGAGGACTTTTAGACAATTTGAACAACATGAGGGCCTTGCCTGTGTCTACCTAATCAAGAAAATACTTGATTAGCTTTACCTATATGCTTTCACTACTTTAATCAAATTAGTGGATCATGACTGTATTTTGTCCACACAGAGTAAGCCTCTACATTAAAATACAAAAAGACCTATTATAAGATACACTTAATTTTTAAAAATACAGGTATTTAAGCTTTTGTAAAAGTATAACAAATCTGTGAGAGTGAGTATACCTAACTTGTAAAGGCAGTGTCAGTGTAATTCCAGAATAAAAGTGATATAAGAAGTTGTTTTTTATTTTTTAAATATAGGATGAAAATCTAATCAATTAGTAATTGGTAAGTCATTTAACACATTTAAGTTTTCAATTTAAAGATCAGATCTTTTTTTTTCTCCCCCAGTATCGGGGATCAAACTAAGGACCTTGCACTTGCAAGGCAAGTGCAGTGCCACTGAGCTAAATCCCAGCCCTGATCAGATCTTTTTAAAAAGAGGTTACAGGTATCATTTCTATTTTCTTTTCAAAATACCTGTCTAAATTACCTTAAAGAAATCTTAAGGAATCATTTAACTCATACTAGTTTTGGATTTTGGAGAAATTTATTTTCTTAGTCTGAGAAAGAGTTGATAATATTTACTTATCACTTGTCTATGTAGGTTTCAATTCAGTTTTAAGTTTTTGTTTAAATTTAAAAAGACATACTTTTTGCTGTACAATATATACATTTCATTCTTTCTCACAGCACCAATAAGTGAATTGAAACTGACACATCTTTTTATCATCCTGAACACCTCTATGATGATGCATTCTTGCACAGGTATTGTGCGATATCAGAAGTCACAACAGATGTGCTGCACTCGGGTTACAGGTGTGTCAAAGGCTAGACCCTCAGCTAGTGGGGAGGCCTAATGACTCCAGCTTATCTACTAACCTCAGTGTGCCCAGTGACAATAGTTGTGCTCTATGATATAAAAACATGTTGAGGATAATTAAACATATTTCCCCAAAGGAACAGGAACTATGCTCTTCACCTCATATAACATCAAAAGGTCTTAACAGTTTGAGTGTATTTTTTTAAAATAAATTATGTCTACTTTTGACTCACAAATCCTCATGATACTGATGTAAAATCAGTTGTCGCTTCAGGTTGTATATTCAACTCTTTCAGGCCTCTAGTGTCTGGGCTTTAAAGTACTTCTTTTTACTATAAACCTAAAATGTACCAATAAACTCAATGAGGAATGAATAAATAAATAAATAAATAGATAAAGTACTTCTTTTATGGACTTAGTGGTTCATAAGGTACTTGCAAGAGTTGTTCCTGTCACATAGAGTGTAATTAGAGCTAACATGTACAAATTAAAATTATTTTCCTGAAATATTTTTATATTGTTAGATTTATGTTTTCTAATCCCTTGTGAAAACTGAACCTTAATCATGCCACAATTACATCATGTTTTGATGCTTCCTGAAAGTTCCCAAAGTCATTACTAGTATGCCTAAGTACATTTGTCAAGTGGAATTTCAGGGTATATTTGAACTGTTCATTCTGAGCAATGCAATAATATGTGTTTTGACAAATAATAAAGAAACCTACAGATATTACATTAGACCAGCTGAATCCATTTTATGGTTTCTTTTTAATTCAAAAGCATCACATAGCAAATAAAAAAATTTTTAAAAATTTAGTTACAAACTAGTTGTTTCTTATTTTTTTTTTTCCAGTCCCTTTTTGCTTTCTTTTACGACCACATGAAACTTGAGAAGCCACCTAAAGCTATATCATTTAGTGGAGTTGGGCAGTTCCCAAGTGTCCAACAAGAAGGCCTGGTTTAGGCTGCGATGGCCACTGTCATTCCTGGTGATTTGTCAGAAGTAAGAGATACCCAGAAAGTCCCTTCAGGGAAACGTAAGCGTGGTGAAACCAAACCAAGAAAAAACTTTCCTTGCCAACTGTGTGACAAGGCCTTTAACAGTGTTGAGAAATTAAAGGTTCACTCCTACTCTCACACAGGAGAGAGGCCCTACAAGTGCATACAACAAGACTGCACCAAGGCCTTTGTTTCTAAATACAAATTACAAAGGTATTAAACTCTATTTTTCTTTCAGATTATATTTTCTCTTGTGTTGGCCATTTGAAGCCATTGTAAACGTATGTATTGTATACACATTTTTCAGCTGATTTGCAGAGAGGAAATGTTAAGTAGATTAGACCTTGGCTAGTTTTTAGTATTCTAAATCACATACTTTTATGTGTTAGTGTCTTTTGATTTTTTTAAATAAAATGCTAATGACGGTACGATTTCCATTTGTAAAAAGAAATTACAAGAAATGGGTATTTACGTGAGTATATTCAGTCTTGCTCATTTGCTTTTGTAATGATAGCTAAGAATCAGCAAAAACTAAAGTGGCAATTTAAAAGGCTCAAGTTTTGTAGTATTTAGGTATGTAGACTATCCTTTTGGTACATTTTAAGTTATGTGGTTTCCTTTAGTAAGGGAGTTCTGTGTTAGCATATTAGTTAGCTGCCCATTTGAAAAGTGTATACATACCATTTTCATTGTGATAATTACTTACAGATTGTATCTGTGTTTAAAGGCACATGGCTACTCACTCTCCTGAAAAAACCCACAAGTGTAATTATTGTGAAAAAATGTTTCACCGGAAAGATCATCTAAAGAATCACCTCCATACACACGACCCCAATAAAGAGACATTTAAGTGTGAAGAGTGTGGCAAGAACTATAATACCAAGCTTGGGTTTAAACGACACTTGGCCTTGCATGCCGCAACCAGTGGCGACCTCACCTGCAAGGTGTGTTTGCAGACTTTCGAAAGCACAGGAGTGCTTCTGGAGCACCTTAAATCTCATGCAGGCAAGTCATCTGGGGGTGTGAAAGAGAAAAAGCACCAGTGCGAGCATTGTGATCGCAGGTTCTACACCCGAAAAGATGTCCGGAGACACATGGTGGTGCACACTGGAAGAAAGGACTTCCTCTGTCAGTATTGTGCACAGAGATTTGGAAGAAAGGATCACCTGACTCGACATATGAAGAAGAGTCACAATCAAGAGCTTCTGAAGGTTAAAACTGAACCAGTAGATTTCCTTGATCCATTTACCTGCAATGTATCTGTGCCTATAAAAGATGAGCTCCTTCCAGTGATGTCCTTACCTTCCAGTGAACTGTTATCAAAGCCATTCACAAACACTTTGCAGTTAAACCTCTATAACACTCCATTTCAGTCCATGCAGAGTTCAGGATCTGCTCACCAAATGATCACAACTTTACCTTTGGGAATGACGTGCCCAATAGATATGGATGCTGTTCATCCCTCTCACCACCTTTCTTTCAAATATCCATTCAGTTCTACCTCATATGCAATTTCTATTCCTGAAAAAGAACAGCCATTAAAGGGGGAAATTGAGAGTTACCTGATGGAGTTACAAGGTGGCATGCCCTCTTCTTCACAGGATTCTCAAGCATCATCATCTAAGCTAGGGTTGGATCCTCAGAGTGGTTCCCTAGATGATGGTGCAGGGGACGTCTCCCTATCAAAAAGTTCTATCTCTATCAGTGACCCCCTCAACACACCAGCATTGGATTTTTCTCAGTTGTTTAATTTCATACCGTTAAATGGTCCTGCCTATAATCCTTTATCAGTGGGGAGCCTTGGAATGAACTATTCCCAAGATGAAGCACATTCTTCTGTTTCTCAGCTCCCCCCACAAACACAGGATCTTCAGGATCCTGCGAACACTATAGGTCTTGGGTCTCTGCATTCACTATCAGCAGCTTTCACCAGTAGCTTAAGCACAAGCACCACCTTGCCACGTTTCCACCAAGCTTTTCAGTAGGATTCTGGGACGTGGCTTTATTGCAGAAATGTATGTATAGCCCTGCCTTAGATGACCATTTTTTTTTTAATGCCTACTTTAAGACAGTATAAAAGTTTCTGCTTTTGTATAATACCAGTTTTCATTAAGCCAGTATAAAATAGAAACTAGCTTTTTAAATGAGCTTTGGAACCATTTGTGTCCAGTTATGTTTACCTGAGTATTTTGTCCTGATTCACTGCCAATTGTCATAGTCTAAAAGTTTTATTTCACATAGGAAAGCCATTATATGAATAAAGTTTTAAAAGTCCCTTGTTCAAATTACTTTTAGATCTTACAGTTTTCATTTTTGTCCAGTAACAATGGCTCTACCTTTTGACATTTGGCTCATTAAAAACTTTTTGCAGTACAATGTGAATTTTATAAAATGCATGTGAATAATGCAGGAGTTTTAAAAATTTTACTAGCAGTAAATTCATAATCAAATGTTTTAAATGAATTAAGAATCCAGTTTGGAAAGATAACATATTTCTTAAATATACTGTAATTTCAGGTCAGTATATTTTGAAGACTTGCTATTATCTTGGAAAATATTTGCTAAAATACTAGAATGTATAAGAAAAACAAAACCAAAACACAAAGCACCAGTGTTTGTAGCAAAAACAGACTCTTAATATGATGACTTGTACTGTTACATAATAGTTGGCCTTTAACTATTAGTACATGGCCTCTTTTGCCACAGTTCAACCTTCTTGACTTGCTATCTTTATATTTAATAATATTAATAGTGTATGGCATCAGGGTCTTCAGGGTCAGTATATACAGGTAGCTCTCCTTAATCTTTTCTGCCTTTCACAGCCAGATGGTGGCTCAAGTGCACCAGCAATTTTTTTTATTATTATTGGTCCACAGTCCAGAATCTAGAGCTGTTATGGAACTATAGACAATATTGTGTTAATCCCAGAGTGGACTGTCCTGGCCTCTAAGGTATGATAGACTCCTAAATAGGAAGTCAGATGTAAAGCACATGGTTAAACCTTGGAATTTGTGTGGGGATCATGTCTGCTGTTGCCAGGGTTGAAAACTACACTCCTCAGGAGTAAAGTAAGAGCATATCACTTACATCACTTCTTGCTGAATATGATACATGTTTCTTTCTCTAAGAGCCAAAAGCAGAAAACAAAACAAACAACATTCTTGCCCCCATGCTATCTTTCTTAGTAAATGTGAACTCTATCGCTATTTTCAGATGGAGAATTTGAAGTTAAAACAATTTGAGAAATTATGGTAAAGTTTTAAGCAACTAAAAATATATACAGTAAAACCCCACTTTTATACATCTCTGGAAAATGGAAAAAATGTTGCAAGTAAGTTGAATTTGTAGAGGGTAGCAAAGTAAAGTAAGAAAAACTATCATCTTTGTTAATGTGAAGATTAGAAGATTGTTTCATTGAATAAAATAGTTACACGCTTTCTTCACTTTAGGCAACCACCATAGTCTTCTCAGAGGTCCATTTTTATTTTTTAAAAGGTCATTTGGGACATTAGCCTAAGAAATATATCTATCAAGCACATGTTAACACCTTATTTTGGGACCTCATTCTTTGAGGCGGGGTGGGGGGGGAAAGGGTTATAGAAGAGTATATATCTCTTTAAAAAAAATATTTCTAAGCACTCATTAGCCTTATATGGGAACAACTTTCCCTTTTATAGGGCCAATTATCACTGCAATTGCAATGTTTACCAAGAATTTCTAAAAATGAGTGCAGATTACTGAGTATAATACATTATTTAAAATATTTGGGAGTATAATTTGTGGAGAATTGTAAATTGTAATAATGTAAATGGGGGTTTCACTATATATATATTATATATGTGTGTATATATATATATATATACACACACACACACACACACACACACATATCGCACTTCATAGAATCAAAGTTGCTCTCTGGAGGATCTTTGGCTCCTGATATTTTATCATGCTCCTATTTTTTTTAATCCTAGGAGCAGTAGTTTTTATACCTATGTATTTAAATTTTATTATGAAAAATTGCATTTATTAAAGTGTGTTCCAAAGGCATTAAAATTATATATGTTAAATAAGGAGATGCATTTTAAATTTTTCAAACTGCTCCTAAGCTTTTGGTTAGGAGAATATTTGCTCTGAAAGTAGGCTTTTTGCTCTGCTTCATTATTGCTTCCTTTAGTTTCTATGAAACAGATTGCTTACCTAAATCTAATTGAATGATTAGTGTTCAGTATTGCTTTAATCACCATTAAAAAGGAAAAAAAAATATTTGGTGAGAGAGCACAAGTAAATAGAAAATCCACTTTTAAATAGCGATCAGATAGCAAGTGTGGAAGCACTAATTTATCCTATCTAAAATTTGCCTAAACAGACGTTGGCCTTCATAGGCTGTATTTCACTGCTAATAACGAAAGGGAGTATCACAATTTATGAAATAAAGCATTTTGAAAACGGGGAATGACACCATGTATCTCACCCTGCATGGAATTCAAGTACATGGAGGCACACCTTCCGAGGCACCAGTGTTGAAAGTGTGATTGTGGCGTCTTAATTCTCCCTGTGTACCACTTTGCCTGTTGCTGCCCCCACAGACTTGAAGCTAAAATTTGTGTTTTTAAATTGACTGCAGTGGTCACTAAACCTTTTTTGATAGAATTTCTATTAAAGATGAGGCAGATTTGTTTAATTGCACAGTGTTCTCACAAGGATGTAACACAATTGGCCTTTATTTTTTTAGAAAAAAGTTTCATTTTTTGTCTGAAGTAAATATGCTCACAAGTAGTTATCGACAATGCTGTTTTCATTCTTCAGTGGCCAGAATCATCATCTTTGAAATTCCTAGTAGTGCCTTAGCTTGGTTGAGTTGGGGGCAACATTAAATCAAAATATTTTAGTATAGAATTTGGACCTCAGACAAGATATTGAACCTCATTCAGTTTGACTTTCGTGTGTGTACAAACTAGATCTCCAAACACAGAAGTGTGAATGTGGAAGGATCTTGGCACTGTAAGCAATATTATCCACTGATTTATACAAATCATTCAGTTATTGGTCACTGTTAAAATTTTCATTTTGAAACCCTCTTACCAAGTCCAGTTTTTTAAAGCTTCAGTTATCCTGGCCAATCACGCACCATTCTTTGTGCAAGTTGTTAATTTCATTTAGTGTTTCTTTCAAGCTGTGTATTCTTGACTGTTTGTTGCTTGTGCTTTATTTTTCTTATTCATTTGTGGAATATAGTGATATATTGTGTTAATTTGGACAGTAGCGGTTTTTAAAAACCATATACTGACAAAACATGAGCCAGAGCTGATTGCTTTATTAAGCTAATAATGAATGTTATAGAGTACATATTTTCAGGATCATTCATCTAGTGAGCAGTACACATATTTTAGGCCAATATATTTTTTTAAAAATAGAGCTTGGTCAATCTCTATACTACACATATTACAAGATATAGCACTTTCAAAATGAATCTAAACCTTTACAGAAACTTTGTTATAGGTTATGCGTTTATTTTAAGACTTATTATAATGTCTCAAGTGCCATTAGATATATATGTAGGCCTTTGATATATAATGCTTTGTGTACAAAAATGGTAGATGGTATTTTAAACAGGTACATTTTTACAGTGTTTTCTTATCAATTTGCTATATTGCACAGAATCAGTGTGTGTCTTTCATAAGGTTTTACAATGGTTTATTTTTTTACAAGGTTTACGTGTCTCAAAGCACACTGTCTTCCCAGTACGTAAGTTAAGAAATACCAGTTCACCCATGTTGCTTCTAGCCTACTGAGATCCATGTGACATTGCAGGAGATCTTTCAAATGTTGAGTATACAGCATTAGCAATGGCAAACTGTCTTCTCTGACAAATGAGTGCCTGAGTGAGTTAGTCTTGTTTTTCTCACTCTGTGTCAGTCATATCTAAAACACAGTGTTTAGATCTACATAAACTCTGTATTTTATGCTAAAAACCCACAGAGTTCCTTTGGGATCATATAAAACAAGATAACCTTGTTAATGGCACCTTTAGATCACCATTAGGCCTTTCCACAACATTAACCCTCTGAGGTTGGAAGGCCATGCCTTTTGATAAGTTATCTAGCTCTAGAAATGACAGAGCTATTGCTAATGTATAAAACACTTCATTGTATAAGCTTCAGTGGTACAGATGAACCAGAATGAATGTCTATCTGCTCAGAAACACTCCTTCAATGTTACATTGGATCATGCTGCTAATGTGACATGGGATACAACTCTTCATGGTGCTACAAACTTCTCTGTCTTGTTCAGTTGTATTTTTTTATCTGTAGGAAAAGGACTACATTAGGTGTAAAGGTGTACAATATATTTTTATACTGTGACTTAATATGTCATTAACAAACTTTTACACCACCACAATGTATTCATGTGCACTTGCAAAAGGAGATCTTGGACATGCAGATGTTACCAGAACAAACCCAGCTTTTGTCCACAAGGTGACTGTAACTCAGAATGGAAAGTGGGCTTTATAAATAGGGTGTGGAGTGAAGAACATGCTGTAAATTACTAACAGCCCTTTGAATTTAACAAAAACTGGGAATCCATTGGGAAAATGATTGCATCATGCCTGACCATAAGCTGGACTGCTGAAATTGTATTTTTAGCTAATGAAAAAGTGTTTGGACTAGTATGCTAAAAATGTTCTAATGGTAAAGTTTTGAGTCAAAATAGAAAAGGAAGAAAAACCTGCATTCCAGACTGAATTTTGTATATTTTTATTGCATTTAAAATTGCTCTTCTGTGATATTGGGAAATCAAGTGGCTTATCATGTATATCATGTACTTAAAAATGTATTCACAAACTACTGTTGTATTTGTATAAAATATAGATAAAGATCATATTTTTGTGTGTGTGTATAAGCTCTGTAAAATAGCAATCACATTTTGGAGCTGCAGTGATACTACATTTTAAACATTCACATCCAAAGAAGCAGGCTATTTATTGTCCAGATACTCATTTAAAATAGTAATTTGCTGCTAATTAAACAATAATAGTACTCCAGCTTCTTGTGGCTTACAGTTTTATGTTTGCTGTAAAAAAAAATATGTGAATTCCACAAAATACCTGAATAAAATTATAGAATGACTAGATAATGTAGATCTTACTGAAATTTTCATAGGTGATACTTTGTGACATTTTTTTCATTCTAAGTATTTTTTCATTTGATAAATATAAGATTCTTATTGCTAGCTCTAAGTTCTTTGTTGAAATGTAGGGTTCTAGGCATTATTTTAAAATTTGTGTAAGGACAACAATTATAAATTTTTTAAAAATCAAAACTTTAATCCTACTGAGTTTAGAA